AAAAAGAGCATCATTGAAAGTAGTTCTAAACTTAAACTTGTGACATGAAATAAACTGTATAATCTTTTCATAATATTTTAACATATTCCGTTAAACAAATTAGGAACATAAACCATAACAATCTCTTAACACATAGCGGAGATATTTGAAAAGTGCCACTAATTTATTCAGTAACATTGTACAGTTCATATCAATTTCACAGATCACCGACTGTTAACAAAGTAACTGACCTACAGACAGTCGGATTCATCGTGTCGGCTGTGCCGGCATAGATAACAATCAAAATGGCGCCCAAAGCGTCACACACTGTCACCAAACTAAACGAGCGCATTAAAATGAAACGCCTGAGAGTAATGGACATAAATTAAATAGTGATCCACGTCACTCAAGACGAAGGATCTGAAGAAATACGCCCTGACGGAAGCCAGGTAGTTAAGATTCGAAACAAAAATATCAGATAATACCAGTTGAGATGTTAACTTTTATTAGGAGGTAACAAAGTGGAGTTAATTTACGTTCTTTTTGGGTCGTAAGATAAACATTATAAGTCTAATATATCATTATACTCATTAATCCAATTTAAGAGATATCATGATGAGAAATATCATGAAAGTTTTTGTAAATAAAAAGGTAAGTTGATTATCTAATATGATAGTTGCAGACACACGGCACGTGTATGAAGTTTCGACGCAACAATCGTATGTTATATTGCCGCAGTGGGTCACACCGCACTCGAATATATTGCAATTCATTATGACAGTAACGCTAGAAACCGATAGTTACAATACGCAGTGGTTACAAGTAAATTACCTGAAGCACTCGTAATCCCCGCCAGGAGGCAAACAATAGAGTAATAAATGCGACTGCACCGACGATCGGAGAAAGCTACCAATGTATCGACAAGGTATAAATCAGATGCAACCTCGAGCATTACTGCAGACAGGGGGCTCACTTGCCCCCGGAAATATATCGAAAACGTTACAAAACAAACACTAAGACATAAGTCAGATCCCTTATACAAAATACGCAACGGTTCATAGAAATCAGGAGCTGTCAAAGTGGACTTTATGCTTATCTGTCGCATCTCAATATTGATTTATACGCAAGACCGATATGCTATTGGCGACTATTTCGCATTTGACCATCGGTATCTCATATTTTTTTACCAATTGGGCAAAAAGCTGGTGTATACACCGTTACCAAACTGGGTCTATCTGGGTGCATAAACCTACCTAAGCTCCAATTATAAAACCATAATAATTTTTATACAATAATTTTTAGACCACTAGACCGCTTTTATTTAAATATATTAAAGACACATTCATTACACCTTTAAATAAGCTAAGTATCCAAAATGAATATATTTGTATATATATTTCTTCGGTTGGGTTATCAACTAAAATCATTTGCTGCCTGATATCTTTGTATGCCGACTGCATAACCAAAACTAATTCAGTTTTTTAATATCTTAGTTTAAATTTGATACAAAGTCATACATAGAACAAATTCTTTCACGAAAAATTTTGTAACACTGACATGGGGCCAATCAAGTAAAAGATGCTGTAAACATGCCAACAATGAGTATAAAAATAACTCTGGTGATTTTAATCTTTAACCTGATGTTGACCTTCTCCTAATTATTAATTATGAGTCGGATGTAAATGCTATGGGTTCCGAATCTTATTATTTATTTATGCAAAATAATATATTAAAATTGGACAATGAAACAAAAACTAATATAATCCGCAAACTAATACATGGCATAAGGACGCATATATGTTACAAATCTATATCAATGTCCTGGGGTTATAAAAATAATACTACAATAACTTTTTTACAATAAATGGAAATTTCAGAATAAATACAATGAATAAAATAAAAAACAAAACTATTGATTGAATTGCAATGACGACGACTAGGTGGAAATTCTCACTGTACGTTTCATTGTTTTGCGACTTTACAAATATAAATCTTCTCCTCATAAGGACTTCGTCCGAGTGGAATTTAATCTTAATTTTCTAAAATAAAAGAATTTTTCTAAAATAAAAGTAGCCCAAGTTACTTCTTATTACATCAGCTACTTGCCAAACTCGGTCAGTCCAGGCATTTCAGAGATTAGCCGGAACAAACAGACAAACAAAAATTGTAGAAAATATTATTTTGGTATTTATATTCTATATGAATATAAATACGTATAATAGTATGTAATAAAAATGGTTATTTCAATATTACAAACAGACACTCCAATTTTAATTATATGTATAGATAGATACTGTTAGTATATATTAGCCCACACGGGGTAGGCGTCTAGGTTTCACGTTTTCCTGCATGATGTATTAGCTAATATCCTCAAGGTTCTTACGCCAGGTTATAAGAATGATGTCATATAGAGACGTCACATTCTTATTTCAGCACCATGAAGAACCTAAAGTTTTGACTTTTAAAAACTAGAAAAAAAAAATTCCTTCGCCTAAAACAATGATTACAGTGTTCACAAAACTGACTCAGCAACCTTACATATCTTCAATCTGATGACACCAAGCACGTGCGCGGAATCTATTCTACGTGAGCACACCAATTTCACTATAATTAGACTCGTTCTCACGAATGCCACTGTCTTTTTACGAACGTATACTATATCAAGTAAAGTAGATAATATAATAATAACTAAATTACAAAAAAAAAATACTCTTTGTTAAATTAACTGTTTTAATCATATGATGCAATTTGGGTTCAATCAAAGAAATTTATAATAATTTCAAAGCTTGTATACATGTTTCTTATACAATTATTTGTTGGATAATATGATAATTAATTACAACTTCTAATCTTGTAATGAAACTTATGAAAAATAACAGCTATAAAAAAATATTATAGTTAATTTTATTACCTATCTAAATGACATTTAATGAAAATTAATCTATACTTACCTATAAAATAAAAAAGCCCATACTTTAATAAAAATTACAATATTTTACAAAAAAAACATTAAAACTTACTTATTAGATATAACATAAAGTTGGATTTCACAAACCTGAACATTGTTAATGAACATTTAAATAATCAGAACGTTAAATATTGGATAAATTATTATGCTCAAAAATTGCTCGACCTTAAACCTACTGTATAAAGTGCTTAAGAAAGAAAAAAAATTTAACATTTCGAAAACAAAAGTATGCACAAATACCACACAAAGTTAAACAGTTTCAGTTGTAACACAGAATATTCTGTTACAAATGCTGTTTAAAAAAACTACGTTTGGCACGAGAATCATTGGGATATGGAATTCTGATTCTACTGTATTAGTAAACTCTTATAGAGCTTACTAAATATAGCTAGTTTAACAACTTATTTTACCAAAATAGAATTCAATTAAAGTCAAAAGACCACTTCAATCAGATAGAAAAGGCTTAAATTAACCATTGCCATTATTATACGAGTATAATGCATTTCACGCTTTAATATTCACAGTCAGAAGCTCCAGGAGACCAGGTCGATAAGTTAAATTTCAAAGAGTATCAACTTTACCTAAACGTAATTGAGAACCGAGAAAGACTGAGAGAACATACAGATCCAGCTGTAGAATTTGTTTAAAGAAACCAATAAGACTTTAATAATTGGCAAATGAGACATCTATGACATACAAAGACAGTTACATACAAAGTAAAACTTTACTTTGTTTACTTGAAAATATTATATTTTCTAATAAATTAAACCAAACAATAATGTAGTTTGTAGACTTAAAAGTTTGTGGTAGCTGTATTATATTACTTTATTTTAAGTCATATTTTAACGTCAGTTCGAAATGTATTTGAAACTAAAAGGAAAGGACAAGAAAATCTATTCAAATCTTTTCAAATTTCATTGTACACACATCATTAATCAAACAATGGCGAATTCTTAAACATTACCTGACTTGAGAATAATATGTTTAGAAATAGGCAATTGTTGCGATTGTCTAAGAATTATAAAATACCTAATACTCCGGAATTTTAAGTTAGCATCAGAACTCATATCTACAAGAGTATTTATTTCTGAAAAGTAGATAATTAGAGATAGTTTTCAAAATTTTGTTATTAAAATATGTTGTTATTAAATTTTGTTATGTAATATGATTATCCGATTAATGATAATTGTGTTGTAGAAACAAATTCCATGCTTGTTAGAATGTGTTTACACTTGTAATTAAGCATATTGTAATTTATAGTAAAATAAAAGGCGATACATAATCAACGAAAAAGAAAGACATAAAAAATCAAGCGTATACTTGACGTGACGTTACTGTTCGTATATGCTTTATTTCAAAGTGTACTCTTGCGGATTGATTTAAAATTTCGCCATTATTCTCTATGGCGAATACAGTGACCACAAGCATATGGTAACAAACAAAATTATTTAATCAGCAACCACAACCTGACCAGACCCACAAGCTACATATGTTACAAATAGCACTGCTAATGTAGTAATGAGAAATGTTTGTCATAAAAATAACGTTACCTTACTTATAATTTCTTGTTAGGCATTCAAATCTTTAATCTATATCGAAACTAATAATATCATTTATTAACAGTACTAGGAAATATGATTAGTAAATAAGAAACAATCTATTTATTTCAAATGAAATCTACATGCTTAATACTTGTTGCATTTGTACCATTTTTATTTATTATATACTATATATACAGATATGTGTATGTATGTAAAATTATATATCTACATATGTTATGTTTCAATGCTTATTAAAATTAGTAGTAATTGTATCGCCAATAATTTCTTGGCTTGGTTGACAGTCATGTCTTAAAATTCTTTTGTCTATTACAAATACAGCATTGTAATTGGTTGGGTGTTAGTGTTTCAATAATTAGGTATTTTGATACAAATTTATTGTTAGGCGCTGGTAATAAAAAATGTACACCAACCTTGTCACCAAATTTCCTACCTTCGTTCCTGGGAACATTTGAAGGAAGGATAAGACAAAAACAATCTACTGGTGCTCTTTGAATAGATGTTTCTGATTTAATACTAAGTTTATCGTTAACAATCAAAATCTTTTTTTTTTTAATTTAGTCTACGGCCTTCGCTAAGGCATCAACTCAGTTCAGTCAATTTTTTTTATTGTGCACAGTTATAGATTCTCAGACACAAAGTATTACACTAACAAACAATTACACTAATTACATTCTTACCACTAGATAATTTTATAAACAGTAACATCGGACAGGAAACCTTACAACTAGAAATTAATAGTCGACGGAAATATCAGTAATCGTACTTATAATCGTACGATCTATTTGAACTAGAACTATCATTCCTTTGTCTTTTCCTGCGACTATCTTCGTACGCGTCCCACCGCGAGATTCTTTTTCTAGTACGGAACTTTCCTTCTCTCCTTACGTACCACTCATTGCTTTGATAGTCATTTCGTTCATATTCACCGAAAGGTGACCTATACATGTTATAATTCATACCTATAGGTTTCACTTCCGTAGATTGTCCTAGATCAGGTGGAGGGAGCTTCTGTCCTAATAAATCAGCTAAATAGTTCTCTCTCTCTATTTGATAACCACGTCCTTTTTCAAATTCTGAAACAATATGACACACATTTTTTAATGCAATTTCAAAGATTTCTTTATTTGTCACTTATAACATACGTTTAGTATATATAGTTATGTATATATTATTAATATCATACTCATATTGTTGTCTAATAAAAAACAATAGAATTAATAGAAAACTTTAATACGTTTACCATAAATGTTCAATTCAGCAACGTTAATAGGAAATCCTATAGAATAGGCTAGATATAGTGTACTAATAAGAATAATCAACATATTACATACATTTTTATATATACAAGCCTCTATTTAAATCTCTGCGGGTACAGCTAGTTACAAATATAAATCTCGACACATAGTATGTAAAGATTAATTCAAAATATTTAAAACTGTTTCATCCATAAAAGGAGATTACAGTAAAATCAGGCCATGTAATCCGATTACGAATCGATGAAAATCAAATAAATCTAATTCTAATTCACGTTAATATGCATTTATATTCACAATATTGGTAATAGTATCAAACGTACAAATTTCAATATTATGTTAGTAATGAACAACCGACATTACATATTTTAGATGTATTAAATTTTAAAACTTATTGACTCTATTTCAGCCATTCATTGTCCTCTACTGAATATAAGCCTCCCTTAGAGCTGTCATAAGAAAATCATATTTCAGAGGCATATAGTAAACGTACATGTATAGCATAACCTATGGGTTATGCTATACGTATACGTTTACTATAAGGAAAGGGCTATGGCCCTTTCCCATAAAAACCAATAAGTACGACTTACTTTTGATGGCGTCTTTCGCCAGAATCCCAAGGCGGTCGCGCATATAACGACATACCATATAGCCAGTTCGATTCAGACCGTGAGTGCAGTGAACGCCGATGATTAAATCTGCAATGATACGGTACATACAATATCTCTTACATACACTAGTCCCGCGAAGTAGAGGAGTATTAACATGTAAAAACGAATATTATAAATCTTACATCGCCATCCACGTTGGGACGCTGTAAATATTTGTAGGACTGTTTCCTTTTTCTAAAAGATTCACATTAAAATGCCCTTTACTGAGACAGACTTTGTACAAAGTGCTGCGTTGCTTCCTCAATCTCACTTATTTCATATCCAAGCAGCATGCATTATAAAATGTTTTCGGTTGAAATGTGAAATAACGCACTGAAATTACAGGCTACGGAGGCATGATATGTTACTTCGGAATAGCAAAGCATAATTAGTAGCAGTGGTGTCACATGATAACGTTATATTATTCTATAATATAAGACATAATAGAAGACATAATATGACTATAAAATCTCATCGCATTTCTAATAATGTTTTTTTTTTAATTTTGTCGGAATATTTGTGTTTGGTAACTGTGATTTTCTTCAGATTTTTCTCTGCAAACCTCAAAGGAGCAGCGTGGGAAGAGATTAGTAGATACCTACTTTTATATATTTTCCATCATATGCCAATTACTACGCTGTATAAAAATAATTCTAACCTGTTTCATTTTAGACCACACACCTACATAACGAAAGAACTCTTTAAAACATCGCTTTATAATTCAACTCCCATTTTATACCTAATACAACGGTTTACCGTTTGCAGGACAGGATAATCACGATCGATTGTTACTAAAACGGTCGCAAGAAAAACGAAAACCTAATGTTTGTGACTTCAAAATCGCACCGCAAACATCGCTTGCAGGTCGTTGACTCCCGCCCCTAAACACCCCGCTCGGTACAGGGTGTGGGGAATCGGGGTCACGGGGAACAGAAAGGAAGTCGTGGCCGCGGTTTGACACTTCCTCAGGAAGACCTTTGAAGTGACATGGAAGATATTGCTATATCCACTGAAATGCACCTGTGTAGTTATTTTTTAAATGACAATAACGAAAGTACTAAAATAAAACAATAAAAAATAAATAACTAATTGTAATGATAAATTACACAGTTTTAAAAGATAAAAAATAAATATTTCAACAATCGTTAAGAGAATCGTTATACATGAAAATTGCTAGAACATTAATTTTGAAGCACGAGACAAAAATCAAGGAAAAAGAAAATTACGACATTAAATTCCCACGATGCAAACAAGAGGTAATGCGTAGATGCATTACACATGCAAATGCATGCCAACTCGGCTCGGCGCAGACAAAAAAACAAATTCATTTACAACAATCCATCAAAGACGGCTTTCGCCAGCAACTTAATTAACAAGTAAACCTGTTTTCAATTACAGAAACAAACAAGAGCGATGATAACTGCTAAAGGGAAATCAATCAAATTAAATAATATTTATATCCTGCGTTTAAACAAATTGCAAATAACCTAAATATGGATAAATGCTTTCCATTTATCCATAGATTAAGACTCTATTATTATATATATAAGTAAAATATGTGTATGTAACAATCTCGATGGTCTAGTGGTTACTGCTTTACTTCCGATGGGTTGAATTCCTCGCATGATGCAAACATTTGTATTTATGAGCATTATTTTTATGTCGATGTGAATGTTTCTATGTATATATTGGGTATGTATTTACAAAATTCTATCAGTTGACTTGTACAAGATTGCGCTGTGTAAATCGTTCAGGGTAATTATTTTTTTAGAAATAATTTTAGATAACTATAGAGAATTAAGGATATTAATTAAAAATATAAAGTGTATTAGTCGGTAATATATTTCAATTTCATATAACGTCAGATTCTATGAGAAACCACTATTAAACAGTATTGAAGTTTTGGTGCAGTCATCAATTCTCATGCAAATTGCAACTAACAATACAATGAGCTAATACATGTTACCACTTTAAGTCACTTAGCATAGAAAGCGTGTCGTACTGCATCTCGATGTTATAAACTCGATGGAAAATAAACATAACACTGGTAAGCGAACAGACCAGCAAGAACAAACAGACAAAAGGTATCAAAAGAAGGCGTTACACAATTATAATAATGATATATGTGATGAATATCATCATTGCGTAACAGAAGAATCCGCCATAGATCAAAGAATCGCGAGAATGGATGTAACATAAATATTGTTAAATATTCACAAACATTATAATTTAAGTGCCTAACGTAAATTAATGCTAAAACGTTTTTGTATACAAAACTCGTTTGATACCTAAAATGTATATTACTATCGAGCACAACGTTTCACGCACAAAGTACTCATGTAATACAAAAACGATGTATTTCGTCATGTTTGTTTAAGAGATGAAATAAATTATTTGTTTGGACTTTTAACCTACAATAGTATAGATACACCATTGAATATATTATTGCGAGATTAAAGATTAAAATTATATTTATAAGGAAATAAACAGAATAGAAAATCGTGTATATTGCGTATTGATAGTGCTAAATAACTACATAACTATCATATGGCAAGATATTAACTAATTACTACAATTGCCCTCAGTTTAGTGATATAAGCTTATACTTCCTCATACATATTTCGCAGGTAAGCCATAATAATAACTATTTAATTTAATCAGATATCTAGAAAGTCATTATAATAACTATATTACAGTACGGAAGTACCTACACTTAAACAAGTCCTCAAATTTAGCACAATTTTAATTACAACTCGTTACAAACATAGAAAAGCTATTCCATTAGAATCGTATAATTTTTAGTGACATGAAAAACATTCTAATGTATGTAAGTAAGTCCATACCCAACTTTTGGTAATAATATTTTTTTTTAAATAACGCTAACAACAAGTCAAAAAATGCATCACCAATTAATGCCATTAAAATTAATGTATTACGTGTATTTACTACTATTATATTAAGTGTATTTACACTTAACGCTTTTTAATGGAACTAAAGCTTCATTTTAATTATAATTAAAGCAGAGCTTATAATTCTAAGCTCTATGTCGGATGCATTGATCGCACAACTTGGATATATAGGTGTGCGTATCGAGTCGCGGATCGATTGTCGACAATCGTTGCATTGTGAACGGGACGAGTCTACATCGATGCGGGATGACTCGCCTACGCGCGGCCCCCTTACATCGTAATCGGCTTATTACGTTTTTTTTTACCACACTCGATCGTATGACTTAACATTTCAGCCCTAAGGTACATTTAGGAAACAATTATTATCTACCTACTTACAGATTTAGTTTTGTATTGATTATTGGAAAACTGTGTACATATATAAATAATTACTATAAATTATTTTTCTCTGTATTCTTGATTGTACAAAGTATGAACTTGAATGTTACGTGAGACATTGAGTTGTAAATAATATATGAGAAATAGATACACAGAATTTGATCCCTGTGGAATAAAATATTATGAAGGACAATAAGTTACAGGACAGTTATAGTAAACTAATTTAATATATATATACTAATAGTACCAAATTGAAGGGTTTGTTTTAAAACCTGATTTATATTTTTATTACTATGTTACACATTTGTATTCAACTAGCGACCCGTCCCAGCTTCGTATAGTTGCAATACAAATCTTTGAATTTCATTATCAATCATCATTTAAAAATTAAAGTAATGAGAAGTAAACAGGCATATTTACATACTCGTACATGTTAACAAGTATAGTGTTACAACAAAGCACTTAAGACACACACTGTTGTTACTACATACATCATGGCGCCATAACGTGGGCTGTGGCCTGATGACCAGGTGACTATTTAGGTATTTAAGATGGACATTATAAGGACAACCTATGTCGGTAGTTAATTTAAGTATTTAATTTTTAAATAATTTAATAATTTTAAATGTTAGGCCGCAAAATATATTATTTGGTGAATAATAGTGGGGCAGGACAACATTATGATGACGACTTGGTAAATAATCTCCCCAGTAGTAAAATATTCATAGTAGTTAAATAAAAAAGGTAAATAATTTGAAATTTTAAGATCGTTGAAAAGATAATTTCAGCAACATTGTCGTTTATTACGAAGTAAAACATTGTTATCGAACCATATATACACAGGGTGGTATCTAAAATACATTTGTCACAAGAACATACGTGTAGTTCAAAAGTGCAACTTTGTCTGTGTCTATCTGAATTGCTACAAACGCACTGTCTCTGGAACAAAGTTGGAAACTTAAGAAGTAACTCATTCATTTGTGACGTCAGCCAGAATTCTGAAATGACTATTTTTATCGCTGTAGGTATCTTTATACTTTGTAGACAAAAGTTTATGCTATTTTATTTCATGAGAATATGATTTTCTTTATAAACCTCTTAGCTCATAAAAAGTGAAGCTTGTTGTTACCATTATTTTTTTACATAAATTTTTTATTAATATAGATTTTTTATACTGTAGCAAATCCGTAAAATTATGCAAAACTAAATTACAACAATTGACAATTACCACAATATTAAATTATTCTCCGTATCAAAATGATGACGATCATAATAATATAATGATTTTATAATATTCTTTAATTAAGCCAAAAACATAATAGGACCGTTTATAGCCATAAAAACCAACCCCTATTATGAAAAAGTTTACTAACATATATATATATGAAAGATTGATTAAAATATGTATTACGTCTTAAAGAGGGCCATTCGCTCCATTTATAGCATGGGTTCTAGGGAGTCTTTGCGAGAGTGCTTTAGGGAATCAAATATCCTCACCGTTGCTTCTCAATATATTTATGAAAATATCATGTATGCCAGGAAGAATATGATTTTACCTAAATGTCGTTTGGCTAAAGTTAGTAATTCGTTTTATGGCAATTGCGTAAGGTTTTACAATAAAATACCAGAGTCTGTTATAAATCTGCCAGAAAAAAGATTTAAATGTCAAATAAAACACTTCCTTTGCAAAAAAGCTTACTATAAAATTGAAGAATTCGTTAACGATAATAATGTTTTTGTAGAAAAATTTTAAATACATAGCACTGACAATATTATCTGATTACACTAATAATGAGTGCGTAGCGATTTCTATGTTGATTGTCGCATGCCTCTTACTTGTTACACTGTAATTATTTATATAAAAAAAAACATCTATTAAAAAGAGCAACACACAAGTTTCTTGCTCATTCTTCTTGTGATGAATCTGCATTCCGAATGAGTGGTAGAATCAAAATATGACTATTCAAAAGTGCTTGTAATGAGTTTATTTGAATAAAGATTATTTCTATTTCTATTTCTATTTCTATTATTCTACCAAGTATTAATAATCGTAGCAAATTTATCATTTAGAGAAACACATTTACATCATATCGTTTATAAAAAGTTGAAAAAAATTATTAACCGATCAGAACATTTATCAATATGTTACCACAAGTAGCAAGTCATGTGTCCGAAGGAAGAAAACAATCAATCCATCAACGGCGCGGGATAATTCTGTTACACGTTTCTCTATTCGCATGAAATCAATAATTTGTTTTCAATAATTTGTTGGTTTTGTGTTAAACCTTATTCAAGGTTGAATAACTTAAATACATAAGTAAAATTAATCATGCCACATAAAACCATTAATATACCGCTGCCGCGGTATGTTCCCTCGTAAGTAGAGGATAGCCTAGCCTAATTAAAAAAATGAGTGTGGACAAATGTATGTACTCTACAACAAGAGTGGAAGAGATATTTGTAACAGTGAAATGGCAATCAATCTGCCTATCACCAACGGTCACTAGAAAACATATTTTCCTGACAATCTAGCACAATGTCATTAGGGACGAGTAGTAAAGTACATGTACGAAAGAATAATATACATTAATATATAACACATTATTGGAGTTATTTGTTTTTACTTAAATTAAAACGATACTCGTCGAAACTAGTATCACTCCAGTACGATCAGCGGTAGCCAAACGCGGTACACGATAACCGTGTAAATCAGAGTAATAGAAACGCGATCTTGCTACGATAGCGCGTGAGATATGATTATCGTAGAGTTACTACGCGGCGTGCTACTAGCAACTGTTATGCTGGTTGCTTGTGCACGCGAATCCTTTCAAGATATTTTATACAAATTAGAGGACTGCAATATCATAAGATCAAAATTTTACTGACAATTAAGCATTATTTCTTATTACTAGATACATTTCTAGAGCTTATTCTAATCTGTATTTTAAATTAAATAATACAATGCATTTATTTTAATAAATACTTATACACGAAGGACGTATATAGAGCAATAGTAGCTAGTTCAAATAGTCAAACATAATATTAACGTCAAAATAATTAATATATCACTGGTGATTAACAACGAGTTCATACTACTCATTTCGACCCAATTCTTAAAGGATCTTGTCCAATAGCAAACCAGTGCACAATATCTACGCCTTACGCATCTCACCTACTTAGCGACACCGATAACCAGCCATTACCAATAAAAATGCCGACAGATACTCGCATGGTTACAATTAATTGAAACTACCCACGTAATCTAATAAAAGCTAGTTTTTTGTGATCAAGACAAACAAGGGCGCCCATTGGTAATTAGAACTTAATGAACATTCGGTATATTGAGATGGGCACCGTGAGAAGTTCTATGATAACTACGATTTGTGTCAATGTAATTAAATATGTAGCTCCCGATAATGTCGGCCGTACAAACCAAACTTACTAGTTTTGACTGCTATTGATGAACCAGTTACAGTTGAACTATCCATTCGATTTCTTGTGGTACCCGACAACGCGTTAGTGGTTTAATGATGGAAGACCGCGAGTTCTTTTATAAATGAACTCATCACACATTCCTCGTTAAAATCGAAGTGGTCTTTAATTGAAATCGTATGTTGTGTCTAACATTCTTGATAACAGCGGACGATACATACGTTGACATATCGTAAGCAGTTGTTATTGCGAATTCAGATGTAATAGATTTATCACCTAGTTATTTAAAACATCAATTGCAGTTCATTTCATTTAAAGAAAAACTTAGGTAATGTTAGCAATATACATGTATAAATATTATTTAATTAATCAGTTTTTTATTTAATTAAGTTTCCATTTATTCCATAGATTACTCTAATTATTAGAAGAATCAGTCATGTTAATATAGTACTTTATATTATACTACTATAGAATACTATAGAAAGCAATAGTTTAGTTCAGTTAGTTATAGTATAATTTATAAATCCATCGGAGACCGCCGTTGAACATATGGTTTTATTTGAGATGAACAATACAATAACGATTAATGTCTATAAAGATTTGCTTCAACGATACTCTTTATGGCAGTCTCGTAAAGTAATACAATTAAGCAATGGGCGTACATTAACACCTCGCCACAACCACTTCTCCCACGCGGGACGGTTTGAAAAGTTCCATGAATTTAACCTACATCTACATTTACAGTACACAACGAACGTAAACTAACAGCATACCCAATTGTAGAAACGTCATGTTTAGACGTATGGAGTGTATGAACAGTTCTTACCTGCGGTCGACAAACTGAGCCGAGCTCTCTTTACTTGCACGGCCACTAAACAAGAGAAAACCGCAACAGCAATATGAGTCTACATACACTGGCGTCATTAACCACAGCCCAAAAGTAATCAAGTGTGTTAACATATCGTGTAAATAATAATTTGACTCACCGCAGTCTTTTCCCAGGAACTCGTCAACGGTATCCATAAATCTGGAAATAAACAAAGCGAATCAATACGAAGGCATTTGCTTAAGTCGAGACTAATCATTTTATTTTTGAGGTGAGTTTCTAAACATAATTTATGAAACATATATTGAATATTAAATTATGGTTATGAATATTAAATAAACTTCTACTAGAATTAGAAAAAAAAAACACTTATTATCATTTATATGATATGACCTCTAAACACTACAAATTGTCAAAAAAAGTGAAAGATAACGTAAATCGATAAGAACAGTTATTTTACCATAAAACATTCAATTAAATTTCACAAAAATATGAAAACGATGGCACCCGTCACGAGTCAGATGAAATATTATTATGTATCGATCCCAGCATGTCGCCATACTTTAATCGATTTTTTTACACCTAAAACCGCATGATCTGTGGATTCTGTGGGCGTCCCGAAATTACGAGGCATTTCTGCCAACCAACTTGGTATCTGTCTTTCATAAAATATGTTTGTTTTCTATCATAACAAATGCCTTTCAATTTCGCCGCAAGGGTATGCCGCCAATCCCCCAGGCTGGAATTATTGGAATGTTTTCTTAAATAACTCGCAAGGGCGGTCTAATGACTTGAATTGTTTATTGCGGCTATGAATTTTTATATAACGGAATTAGAAATAATGGCATCACTCCATTAATATTAAGCAAGAGTTATCACGATTAAATCTAATCTTGGATCAACCCACTAGTGGTTTTAGTCAACTAAAGGACTCGAAAATATTTAATTTTGTAAGGAACCCAAAACAAAACAAACTAGTTTCTATTCTAAAACTAAATTTACAACTCAATTTAAACAATCACGCGTACTATAGTCGGTAACAAACTGTAAATGAACTTTTCTAAGCATTTTATTAAAATGTAATGAATAAATTCATAACATATATGAATTTATTCATTACATTTTAATAAATGCTTAGAAAAGTTCATTTACAGTTAAAAAAAACAGTAGCCATAAATGCAAAGTCAATGCTACCAATATAAAACAACAATTACACTTTTAAATCAAATGGTAGTTCTAGTAATCCTAACAGCAAAATATAATTTAAGGTAATTAAAGATTATCCGTGAAACTTTAAACCAAAACGATAGCAATTAATAAAAACTAAATAGCATTTTAATGAGTGTTCTAAAGAATTTGAACCTTCACTTTAATATGGTTTGCGAGATGAATCTATACGTGTGGCGCCACAATGTAAACAGTTTAATTATGCATAAAGTCACGATTCTCCACAAATTCATGGAATATCAAGCAAGGCTTCTTGCAGAGAATTTTTAACATTTGACGTATATTCTTTGGATTTTCCACTACGTCGCCAAACATGGAATACACATGAAGGTAAAACAGTCCTGTCCTTGTATATAATACTTTATTGTTTTAACAACAATACTACTTATAATTATAAGAATAAGAATAAAATATATTTTGAAAACTTAACCTAAATAACATTTTATCTATCACACATTAGGCTATGCCTATATTGTGAAATCGTGGAAGTTACTTATTATTTTCTCATTATTAATATAATATGTTGCTCAATTCATATAAAATAAATATCTTACTTTAACCATCTCTATTTTAATATATTTCAGTACTATAATATATATATATATATATATATATATATATAATAGTATTTACGTAAATATGATCGAAAAACTTTATTAATGTTTTATTATACACGAGCCCTTTCAACTACATGGCGTGACAACATTCTCAAATTCTATAAATTCATAACTCATACTTCTTGAATTGTAACAATTTATAACCTTTTATGCTTATTACTCTATGCATATTATATTTTGTAGGGTTTTGTGTCAAAGATAATTTTCTTTCGATATTGGTGTTAACAAGATTTATTAATCTAATTATCTGTGAAAGTCTAAAGGTTTTACACGTAGACAAGAAATTAAACGTTCTAAGGTAAATTACTCTCACGATATTACATTTAGTCACGAAATAAATAGATAATAAGTCATGAACCAAGTCTTAAGGGTTTATTTCACTTGAAGAATACAATTTGTAAATCAAATAAATTCATGTAGTTCACAATATCTTCAGCTATCAATCTTGTTACTTTCATTACTAGTAAAACTAATATAAATATTGCTGTAGTATCTTTTTACAAAACTACAAACTAATGGCATATAAATTCTACATGGTCATCAACAAACAACTCCTATATATCATTTGCAAGGTCAACACGGATATTGAACGATTTTAGAGCAGCTACGACTCAAACTTTCTAAGCATTTCCTGGACAACGCGGACGTCATTATTTAAAATGTGTCAAAACTGTGTATTTTATTACTCGGCCGGTATATCGAACCAACGTGAATTACATGCTTTCTTATTTAATATTAGTAGCGTCTTGCGTTTGTAAGATAATTTATGTCTAGGCGTTATCGGCGCGTTGGATCGCTCCCGAGTTATAATCCGAGTATTTTTCAAGTGGCACCGACCTTCCTGCACATGAGGAATAAATAAATTTATGGAACTACTAGGAGATATCACTGCAATTACTATACAATTTTCCAATAGTCTGCTTTAAAATCACACAGAACATACACACAGTTTATATATTAAATTAAATTAATAAACTACGTGACTGGGGTTGAAATTGACAATGTTTTATGAAATAAATTCATAAAAAAATAAAAATCCCACGTGAGAATAATGGGATACATAAAATCCATCACACTAAAAAGTCTCGACAAAGGCTATTTCAAATTAATGAATTACTATATAATGATGTATTATATAGAAACAAAAACTAGCTTTCTATTTTCTGTTTCTAGTATGATTGAAATTTTTCATTTAGAAATCCACTCAATAATTAGGGCTGTAATTAACTCGAGCTAAATATATTAAACAAAAGAATGCACTTTAAAATTTTGTAGGCTATAAAAAGTCAAATTTACATGACCATTACACAAGTTTGCTCACATGTGATCATAAAATATGCGTAGCAAATGCTTTCCTATAACAATATTAAATTTTATGTTTGAATGGTTATAAAATCTAATCTATTACAATCAAAAATCTTTTAATTTTATTTAACTACCATTGTCCAATTATACCTTGCATAAAATAGTGATAAGTAAACCACTCGACAAGCAAGTCACATGTGGTCTGGATTAATAATGTACAATATGTAAACTACATTTTACCACATTAATATCCAATATTCCCATAATAATTTAGATGTAATATAATCCTATAATAATGATTAAAAAATATATTAGTTTTCAGACATACTTTTCAACTGAATTTAAAAAAAAGAAGAAGGTTCTATGAGACCCTTCTCCTTTTTAGTCTAAATGACTTTATATTTTATTCTTTATTGTTACCTCAGAACATCTACGTGAACCAATTTTCGTCATTATTCTTTAAAAGATAGTTCTTTTTTTTAATTGAATACTTGGTACTACTTATGTTTTCCCAAATAAATTAGAGTAGTCACTCATGTAATTTTTAAACAGGATATTTTTTGATCGCACTTTCCTAATCCGGACCTCACATACACTCCACAAGCGCATCCATCATGGTAGACGCGTACATGTCGTTATGTGTTGATACTCTACAAGCGCCGAAAACTTGAAATAGAGATAATAGACGACATTTTGATACAACCCAAGATAAGGATGCAGTAGGTTCCCATGGCAATCCAAAGCATCCTCCCATGGGAGACGAGCGTCAAGACAGGCCAAAGGTTAAACGTGGACAAAATATCAATTGGAAAAGAATACATCCGGTTACTTCACAGACAAAAGAAATACTTAATACGTTAAAGTCGTACAACACAATAGAATTTTATAATTCTGCACGAAGTAAATTATGCAATTTTAATAAATTCACCATTATTTAGAATAAATATTAACTACTATCAGAATAATAGCTAATAAAAATAATGCTAGTCATTCTTGAATATATATACCTGTATTTTCTATGAGAGGAACAATAAAGACTTCATTTCATTTGCAATGTAATATCCGCTACCTTAATACGCAAATATATAAATATTGATTGGATTTGAATACTCTACATTAACTTACTTAAATGATAATAAGTAAAGTCGATTGTTCTGTTGCTGTAGCGTGCAAACTGTACGCCACGATGGCCGGTGGCAGACTGACGTCAGAAAGCAATTAGCATTGATGCATCGCCCTCATTGGTAGAATGGAAATGCGCACGCGATTCTTCTTCATTATACGCTTTTTCACTGTTTTATATTTTCTTAAGTAAGTAAGCCATATACAAATATTTGCACAGGTGTAAATACTATTTGCATTATTTTAATAACCACGCCTGTTTAGCTTTAGGTAGGCGGGACTAAAAAAGGCCATTTTAAGTTTGTATGATTAACCTTGACATATTTTAATTATCCTAGAGACACGTATATTTATAGCTTCCAGGTTTTATTTTTGTTTATGGCATTATTTTATCGACTTGATCGAATTAGTTTTAGAAAGCAACTGTGAATACAACCGTTCATATCATAAAAACCCATTGACAACCCCACTATTGGGCATGAGTCTCACTTTATAAGAGGTTTTAATTTTTTATCATACTACCCGGTAAGGGTTATGTGACTTGATATAGGATTCATCGAGCATTCTACCAGTTGTAACACAACATTACACCAGTATGTTGTTTAACGTTGAGTTACAAAGTCCCGAATGCCAAAAGGTACATTAGCCATCTACGTATTCATTGCCGAGTAAGAGTAATTTAATCGTAATTTTACGAGTAATATGGCGGCACCAACCATGAATTTTTGGAATAAACTATCTTCTTATTTTTATCTATTTCAATTGACGATATTCCTTTACAACCTTAGATTACCTACTAAGAACTAATCGCCTATTTCTACACATTGAAATTAGATGAACTTCTTGTTTTCAAGAGAATACCTTCTAAGAACGGACGTATTCAACACGAAAACTTTTTGTTTTTTCCGTCTCCAAATTCCAACTTTCGAG